CCATCATTTTCTGCCTTGCTTTTGGCCATTCAGCTTTTTATTAGACCAATCAAGTCTAGAGAACCACAGCTTCACAGAGTTAAACAAATGCAACATACAAGAATGCAACACATCTTTGCAACATTACACGAATGTTCCACAGCATAAATAAATGTAACACTTCTTAAAATAATACCCTGTAACAGACATTTGTTATTCAGGAACTGCCTAGCTCTTCTCTCTCCTCCAGCCCCCTTCTCATTAGAAGTGTCTTCCGTTTTCAATGCTTTTAGTGCCATTTTAACTATTGTTGATTTTTAAACAGCTTTTTATTTAAAGTGGTTATTCTACATATCAGTATGCATTTTAGTTTATTGAAGTTTAATGCTAACTCTATTGGATCGAAATATGAAACTTTGCTCCACCATAAGGCAGCTCTGCCCCTCTTTCCCGTGTACTATAATGTCACAGGCACGAAACCTGTATGTTAACGAAACACTCCAGTACTGCACTTGTCTCATATAAACTTATGTTTTGGGAGTTAGAGGAAACGCATATTTATTTGTTCAAAGCCTACATATTTGATGTGTGATGATGCACACCTTTGATCTTAGCACATGGGAGGCAGAGGTGGGCGGAGCTCTGTGAGCTTGAGGCCAGCCTGGTCTACAGAGCAAGCTCTAGGATAGTCTGGGCTACACAGAGAAACCTGTCTCCCAAAAACAAAACCAACAAAAACTAGAAACCCCTATTACCTATATATCCACTGTGTCTGGGACTCTTTTCCAGTACGTTTATTTAATTAAATCTGCTTCTCATTCTTCAACCTAAAATTCCTCCCTAGTATCTCTTTCTTCTGAGACGGGTCTGGAAGCAATCGTTCCTATTTACTGGAAGATGCCCTCATTTCACCTGTACTTCCGAAGGTCAGCTTTGCTAGATTTAACTTTTCAGTCATTTTTGATTGCATTTATTAGCCTGTACACACTTGTGATTAGTTGTTCCTTCCACCATGTGTGTACCAAGGACCAAACTCAGGTGCCTTTACTAGCTGAGCCATCTCACTGGTTCCTGGGTATAAAAAATTCTTGGCTGTTGGTTGTTTTGTTTTGTGTTTTATCACTCTAGGCACGTAATCATCATTATTACCCTCTCTAGAAAAAACGATTATATTATTGTTGCCAGAAAGTTTTTTTTTTTTTTTCCCTTTGAGACAGTGTCTCACTATTTAGTCCATCAGTCAGACCTGAAATCTCCATCCTCCTGCCTCAGCTTCCTGAGTGTTGAGATCACAGGCAGGTGCCTCTGGCTCTCGTTTTAAAGCTCTTCTTTGTAGCTTTGTCACAGTTGCAGGCCTCCTTTGGGGACCTGTGCACTGATCTTATGTGGGAGTTCATTGAGTGTCTTGGATGTGCTGAATAATGGTGTTGTGTGTGTGTGTGTGTGTGTCTGTACACTAACTGTGAATTAGAGTGAGATCATCTTGACTGAGTGGAGGCTGTAACTGTCTACTGCCTGATATGCAGTCTGCAGAGCTCCAGCCTTGTGTTATAGTTCATCTTGTTAGCTCAAGACCAGAACCTTAAACCTTCTGAACAGTGCTTGGAAGAGGCAGAATCCAGAGCTTCGTCATTCTGGTATGGTGCCGTCCTGCGTTTACCTGCCTGCCCATCTGACTGCTGGGCCCCGGTGAGATGGGATACGCCAATGTACACAGTCTTCGTGCATTGATGCAGAGTGGCAGCTGTCAGCCTTCAGTCACCAGCGCAGGCCACAGTGATAACAAAGCACCTGGGCAAATTCTAGCATCACAAATGCCAGCAAAGGGACTGGCCTTTTTGTTTTGTTGCTTGAGACAGGGTCTCAAGATGTAGCCCTGGCTTTCCAGGAACTCACTCTGTAGCCTAGGCTGGCCTTGATTTATCTGCCTCTGCCTCCAGAGTGCTGTGATTAAAGGCCAGTGTCACCAGACTCAGCAGGACTTACTTTTAATCTCTATAACCAGAAGATGATTCTGAGCTGGGGAGTATCCTGAAAGGCACTGGGGAAGATGAGACCCCACTGGCTTCCCAAGCCATCATGTACTGATGACCTACTGTGTGCTGGGCACTCTCCTCAGCCCCTCTAGAGAGCCCAAGAGTTAGCTCTTCCTCTTCTCCCCATCAGAGGTGTGACAAGGCTGGCAGGGGAGAGCAGAAATGAAGCAAGGCATGCTGATTAGAGCAGGAAGCCCTGTTCTGCCATGGTCCTTCACTTTTGCTCCCAGGCGACCTTGACATTTTGCTTCATCTGTTTTCAAAACCACAACTAGGTCTGAACTGAGAGATCCTCTCAGTGAGAAGGCTCTCAAAATCTGGTTCTTCACAGGTCTGGGCCACAATTTCACATCCTCCATGGGGAACAGAGGGCGTGAGTTGGAGGGACACCCTTTCATGTCCATTGGCTCATGAGGAGCAAACTGCCACACAGATATCCCACTCACACACCTATGCTTGCCTCCTCTACGATGCCAGGGACTCTGGGGACTATTACGTAGACGCACATAAGAGAAACCATGTTGCAGTGGATTTAGAAGCCTCCTAGAGTATCAATGCCTGGGATGTTTCCCTGATATTCTTCAGTTCCTAGAACTTCATTGGCTAGGATCAGGGAGTAGGACAAAGGAGTAGCCTGTCTCTAAACGAGCAGGCCCTGGTCCGTGGGGACCCAACAGAATCACTAGCAGCTCAAGCCAACCTCTCAGTGTGGGTGCCATGGGACATTCAAAGGAGAGCATGCCCAGCCTCAGATGTTGTCACCTTGCCCTCAGTGACTAGAATGCTGAACAGGAGCATGTCCACATGTTCTGTAGCCCTCAGGAATGAATGCTAGCTGTTGGTTCCCCTGCACTGTCCCAATACGCCAATATGTTGGAAAAGAGGAGGGCAGCCACTCATGTCCACCTGCTTGGTGTAGGAGGCTGAACCATCACTGTGAAGCCCATATCAACAACACACACACTCAGGTCTACCTCAAACTCCCCCCCCCCTCCCCCATACCTGTCTCTTTAATCCCCTGGCTGCTCTCTTGGTTGAAAATGCTGTTCAACCAGGAAGCTCCAGGCTGCTGGGTCCTTTCAGAGTCAATGCCAAGATAAAGCTGCTGCCCTAAACCAAGGAGCTACACTGCCCTCCAGTGGGCTAAGTGTGAAAGCAGCTCAGTGCAGAAGCCTAGAGGCCAGATTGCTACAGGTGAGGCAGGAAGGGAGCTATCTTGCTAGTCTTGTCACTATCATCTATTTGGGACCAGGTCCTGGGTCAGGGTGGACCAAAGCTGGCTACCATAGTGGATGTTGGGACTCAACCCTGCTTCAGACTCCAGAGGCAGATGAAATTTCTGACTGAGGTTCAAGAGCACTGGGTCTTTCTTTTTCTACCAGCCACAGTTGTCATCTGCTGGGTAGGTAGGGCAGCTGCTGGGTATTGTCACTCCTATACTTGGGTCCAGGAGGGTCCTATGGCCATCACAATACAAAACACTGATGGTCCTGGACAGGTTGGTATCCAACCCTATCCACTGACTACACCAAGCAAAAAAACTGCTGGAAACAGCTTGCCACCCATTCAGGCCACCGTTCACCCTTGCATCTCAACTGAAAGGAAACCCCAGCCACTACCAAGTACATCCAATTCCCTTCCTACCCCGTGTGTCAGTCCCGAGGACCACCGAGATGCAGGTGGTAACAAGTTATTGTTGCTAAGTTTTCATTTTGATCAGCTAAAATGACAAAACATGCCATATATGTGGAAATGTGTAAGTGCATGTGTAAGACACTGACAAGAAAATATAGAGGATATAATCTGTCTAGGAACCTGGGGTGGGGTGTTACTGACCTCTCCAGGACAAGCACAGAGAAAAACCAGACATTTAGGTTCTGTGGTCAACTCTTGAGCTTTGTGCGATCACAGGGAGCCTCCAGGCAGCGTGAATGCAGGGAGGTAGACCGTGGAGGCGGTACCTTCCAGGCCTTAGCAAGACAGTCTCCACCTCTAAGTGCTGAGTGGAAGGAGGCATGTGGGGAAGAAAAAGAATCTTACCATGAGAAAAAACTGATGGCCACACATGGTAGAGAGCAGAATGTGAGTACAATGTGTCCAGACCACTCCAGAGGTCTTTCTAGGAGTTAAATTTAGATGAAGCAGCTGGGCTTTGGAAGTAATGTCTCCTGGGAGACTCTTACTTACCTTGTTCCCAATGGTCAGGAAAGGGCAGCAGCTAAGAGAGATGGTTTGCAGAGGGAGGCAGGAGCAATGCAAAGGCAGTATCATCCTGTCCTCTTCCTCTATGGGATCTCATTGGCATCTGTGGGATCCCTAGGACTTGGGATGACTGCAGCCCTTGGGGTTTCCATGATCATGAGATCTTCTAGTCCTTGCAGGCTAGGATGGAAGTAGCATGGGGTCAACCTGCACCTGGAAGACTGCAAAGATTTGATGGACTACGAGCTTCAGCTGACCTTTTGTAGGCATAATTGCCCTGCAGATGAGGGCAGTGTGATGCTGTTATTCTAAAAAGTGTCTCTGGTAAGAGCAGGTCCCTTGCACCACTGCCTGAGAATGGAGAGTTACTGACAAGGCTAAATTGTTGGCAGGGTTGTACACACAGGCGAGAAGTCATCTCTGGTGCCACTAAGTACTAGGCCTCACAGGTCTCACCTTCACCAGTGGCTGGCGTTTGGATCTTCCTGCCAAGCAGCTCATCTTTAAGTGCTGATGATAAAGGAACAAAACCAAAGACATATCTACACCTCAAATGTTAGGGATAGTGCAATGACACTGAACATGGAAAGGAAGGATGATGGGACATGATCATCAGCTGCAGAGGGGCAAGGCATGGGGAAGCTGGATGGCTGGTGCATCACCTCGAGGACGGAAAGAGTGTGACTTAACTGTTTCCTGTCCAGTCTTCAACAAAACGTGTGCTTGTGTCTCTCGATGGGACTCCCCAGTGACATAATGTGATTGCCTAAAGGACATCACAAGGCAGTTTCTCAAAAATTTTATTTTAATTTAAATTACAGGGCCAGCCAGATATCTGATAAGAAATTCACTTTTCCTTAGGAGAAAGGAAACACTTCCATGTCATTAACAATTGTATACATCTCCCACTTTTTTTAAAGGGTTAAAAAAAAAAATCACATTGAGTAACTGCCTTAAGCAAAATTAAACCTTTATAACATCAAAGAAACCACACCCAGGATAATCGTTTTGGTAGTAGGAACCTAGTAAATGATCACACATCAAATGCAACTTTCCAATTTTGAATGTTTTCACATTGTTCTGTTTAGAAACAGCCGAGAAGTCCTCTGTGCCTCCAGCTCCTGATGCATTGGTAACACACATTTCTCTTCCACTTCCTCATGTTTGCCCAGATGGAAGCTGTTTGCTGTCTGAGGCTCTAAGAGCAAGCTTGGCAAGGAGACCCAGCCAGGTGTAATGACTGCTGTCCACTAAATCCTGCCTGATTCACAGCATTGGACAAGGGCTGGGTCTGCTCAGCTGAGCCTGCCTCCTGCTGAGGATTTCCTCCTTCAGGAGACTGAATGCTTTCCCTACTTCTAGGGAACATGAATTCTCCCTCTCCCCCCACCCCATCTCACATAACCCCCAGCGGAAAGGGCCTTGGAAACTCTTCATTTAAATGAAATAGAACACACCTGTATCTTCTGGAGTGGTTTTTCTGGCTTGTGTTTCTTGAAGGAAACCTTAAAACCCACTCAAAACACCAGATGGGAGGCTCCTTTTACTGGCCAATGAATCATTCAGTTAGTAAGAGAGGCTAGCAAAGAATAATTATGTCATGTTTTAGTCAGCTACAGCCATGCTGAGTTGGATGGGGCAAACTCTGATTTTTTTGTTAGCTGTGATCTGTGTCACTGAGACAAACAGACACCATTCTAGTAACTTTATGTAGATACAGTTTAGGAGATATTGTTCTGCTGTGGTCACAGTCACAAAAAGTGGTGCAAAATCAGTTGCTTTATAAATACTGATAACTTGCAGCATAAGGAAAAGGACATTAAAAACAATCAATTTCCCCAGGGGACATCTAGGACTAGGGCTCTTCTTTTCCTAAGAGAAGCCAAAGTTTTAATTACTCAGTTTCCTGACTACTGTACTGGGTATCAACTTACTCTAAGAAAGGTGCTCTACAGAGGCCCCAACCCACAAAGAATCAAGAATCAGCATTATTAGCATAATCTGTGTCATTCATAGATATGGCAATCTTAGGACTCATTTTAAATGAGTAAGGCCAATATTCTGCAAGTCCATGTGGCGGCGGACTGAGTTCCGCCTACCAACGGCACCCCATTGGGTACTGAACCCAATGAATTGGTTCTTTTTGTTTTAGTGCTGTGATCCTTAATGTTAAAATCAGCATTTTCATGTGATCTCAAGTATTTCAATTACATATGAGCATTTTTTTTTTTTTTTTTTTTGCAAAACTCAGGTAATAGTTACATACTACTACAATAACATTCCTCTGCTGTACAAATTAAACGATTTAAAAGAAATGAGCATTCTAAGAATTATATACAAAAGAAACCTGTGAGCAGTGTTGAAATGAAACGTAAGGTGTCTGCTAGCTCTACTGTTTTAAAATACCTTCAAAAGTAAAATTAACAAATACCCTTCAACACATCCAGGTTCACAAGTCTCAAGAAAATCAAATGTCAAAAAGTTCTAGAAAGCTGTGAAAAGCATATATACACTTTCCTTATGACCTCACGAAGCGCCACACTTGAGAAGTTGCTAAGTTTCAGTATCAATTTATTTGCACGTCAACTTTATCCTCCCCCAAAGCTCACTCTGGATACAGTTCCCCTCTGATCTCCAAAATAATCCCTGTATACGCCACGTTCCTTTGGTGACGGTGGATGATCTGGCTCTGGGATGTCAAGTGTACCCGTGCCATACTGCAGAGATCTGCAAAGAGCAGTGCCAATGTACAGGTATCAGCTGATGTCGTCAACATCTTTTCCCTAGTCCACTCTCATCGTACATTTGCCTTCGAGAATCCAGCCACATTCAGAACTCATGCAGCAAATGGGGTCTGTGAGTTCTGAAATGACACAGATCAAGGGAAAGACCACGTGCGCTCTAATGTGCAAGCAGCAGCTACGTTCTCCAACCTGGACTGAAAAACAAAAAGGTAAAATGAAAACCGTTCACTTAACAGCAGATTAGCAGTAATGTTCCTCATGAATCATAAGAGTGCCTGATGCTGAGTAGCTAACAGCAAGTGCTGAAGTTGGATGGGATATCGTAGGTGTTTATTGGAAATTAGGCTTCTTGCTGAGCTGGTCTCTTCAAATCCCTGATCTGTTTGACTAAATAGGTCTTCTCATCATTGAACTGCTCGTCCTCCGTCCTGTCGTTTTGAAACTTGCTGAGGAACTCAATGAGTTTGGTCTGGTTCTTGAGGAGGATATCTAGGATGGGCTGTGTCTTGTTGGGGTTGGCCACAAACACCTGCATAAAAGGAAACCACGTAGGTCAGAAAAGCAGTCAATGTCAATGTCCACCCAACAAGCTCCTGGGCAGACAGGACCTTTACCTGGGCAGGTAACTGGCTTTTTTTTTTTTTTTTTGCTTTACAAGAGCTTACTTTTACATGATAGGGAGAAATAATAATGATTACAAGCTTTAGCACAAAGCCTGCCAAGCTCATTCTACCAACTCTGGAACAGAGTAGTTAGGACTAAATACTGATTTTAGAATCAAATGACTGATTCCTGGGCACAGAAGGTCAGATTAGGTCTTAAGAAGATACCCCACCCGACCCCACACCTCTGCTAAGCATTACAAAGTACTTCTGACCTTCACGTTCTCACTTAAGCAGCTGCAGATAGCCTAGATGGGGTGAGCCGGGGAGGAGGATAGCAAGGGAGCTGCTGCCCCTGAGTAACCCTGTGTGCACACTGAAGATAATGAGGCTCATCTCTGACTGTGCTTTCTTATTCTCAGGTCCAAATGTCCCACCCATTTCCAGGTCCCCACTTCCGTTCAAACACTCTGACTGAACTGAGCACCATGTGGGTTACGGGGACCAGGCAGTAATAGTAACTGAAACAAACGGTTCTGGAGGAAAGCACTATCAGTGCAGCCCACCTTGAACACGTGAAAGGCCTCAAACTGGATGTTTCGGCTCTTGTCTCGGAGAAGGTTCATCATTAACTTGAGGTTCTCAGGTTTACTGATGTACTTCGTCATAATCGTGAAGTTGTGTCTATCTAACAGCAGTTCACCGAGAAGCTGAGAACACATTTAGAACATGACATTATTAAGACTTCAAGCCAAGAACAAATAAACAACAAACCCATTTTATAGTCATTGTGAGACTAGAAACTGGTTTGAAAAAAAACAGTAACAAAAATGAAAATGAACAACAATAAATAACCACTACCCAAGAAAGTGGTCAGAAGAAAAGGTACTAGGAATTTCTGTTCACTAATCTCAACTAAGTTCCCCCACGTGTTTTAAATTATACTTAGCAGGACTTTCCAAGATGAAGCACTCTCACACCTGGGTCACAAAGCTGTACGTTCAAGACAATCCTGACTGTTAGGGAGCCACAGCAGGGAGCTGAAACCACTTCTGCCTGTCTTATATTCTGCTTCCTGATATCCCATAGAAACTCACAATGTGCAAATGGCTAGCTACTGCTCAGTTCAGATTTTCCTCCAAGTTGCTCTCGTACTGAGCTCTAGCTGAGGTCCAGTGTGTTCAGTGTGTCAGCGATGTATCTACTAGGAGCAGGCATCCATCAGCAGCATCCTTGTGGATAGCAAGGCAGACAGTCAGGGCATGTCCTGTGCCAGTCTGCCTGTGTTCAGATATGTAACCTTGAGTGTTACTTGCCTTCTCTGTGAGAAACTCAAGTGTGAGCATATGGAAATATAAGCAGGTGCTGGGTCCCAGCGGAGCTCTAGTATTTGACATTTCTAAACAACTGACCTCTAGGCAAATAGCTTCTCATCATACAAAAACAAACACCAAAAAGCAAGACTCAAAACCTGTGGGGCTTCAGGCCTGGCTCAGTGGTTATGTAAGAACACTTGCTGTTCTTGCGGAGGTTCCTCTCACCCGGATGGGCTGCTCATGTCTGTAACCAAAGCTCCAGAAGGATTTCACATGCTCTCTTGGCCTCCTCCAGCACCCCCACTCATATCTCACCACCCCAATCTATGCTACCTGGGATTCATGAAGAATTTATAAAATATGTTTCAGGCCAGCAAGATGGCTCAATGGATTAAGTCTGACAGCCTGAATTCAGTCCTCAAGACCCACGTGGTGGAAAGAGACCTGACTCCCCTAACTTGTCCTCTAACCTCTCCATGTGCCCCACATAAAGTAAGTGCAATGTAATAATTCTTTTCTTTTTTCCCAAGAGAGGATTTCTCTGTGTAACAGTCCTGAACCCCACTCTGTAGAGCAGGCTGGCCTTGGACATTTCCTGCCTCTGCCTCCTTAGTTCTGGGATTGAAGGCATGTACTAGCAATGTAGTAACTTTCATGATTAAAAACTAACTTCAGGCCTCATGTCACTCTGAAGCATATAACTACTACTTTTTAAGAAAAGAAGTGGCCTGCTTGCATTCTAGGAAGACTCAAAAGTGGGTGCGCTATGGGGTGCACCTCTCACTGTGTCCATCCTCTACTGCAGAACTAAAGGCATTCTGAAGAAAGACTGGCTTCAGCCAAGTCACCCAAAAGATGACTGTGAACTCAAAGTATCTGGACAATGAAAATTAAGTTCTACTCAGGGACATAAAGTTGCTGCCAGCAGGGAAGGAATGGTATCTCATCAATACAAGATCAGATATTTTTGAGGAATTCTGAGCAAAGTGGAATTTTAAAATATATCCAGTAAAACATTTAAACAAGATTCTAAATCCTTGCAATCCTACCCCAATTCCTGTAGAGCTACTTCCTGAAAGAATTTAATGTGTTGCTCCATATTTAATAACCACTGTAAGAACACACAGAGGCCAGACAAGGTCAGACAACACACATTTTAAACTTTGTAGGCCATATGGCCTCTGTGACAACCACTCAAATCAGCTGGTACAGCTTCAAACAGGCAAAGATGAGGTATAAAAGTCTTGCAATCCTATAAAACTTTACTTATAAAACCAATCAGTTGGCTGAGTTTGGATTCTAGGCTGCAGTTTGCCAGCTGCATGTGTGGTTTACATGCATGCTCATGTATGTATATAGGCATATGGATGGATAGGTGTGTGTGTGGGTGCTCATGTGTTTAGGCTGAAGATCAATACTTATCTCTTCCTTAGTCACTTTCCCACTTGCAATATTGAGGCAGAATGTCTTTCTTGAACCTTGAGTTTGTTGGTTTAGTGTAGCAAGCCAGCTTGATCCTAGGATCCTGTCTCTACCACCCAAGCACAGGTTGACTGCCACAGCTGCCCAGCGTTCATGTGGGTGCTGGGGATCTGACTCCAATCCTCATGTATGCATAGCAAGTACTTGGTCCACTGAGCTACATCACCAACTCCTTAGTTTGCCAAAGTTTGCTCTAGACTTTCAATCTCATATTTAGCATGTCTAAGGTTCAAGTGGGGTTGTTCATACTCTGTGTTGATAAAAGCGGGCAGAGCTGTGCAGTTCAGTTTCAGGGCTCACATGCTGGTCCCCAACCCTTCTGCCAATCTGGACATGGGATATTTTATCTAGTTGGCTTGAATCCATTATGTTTCTGCAAGGCATGATGGTTTGTGTTTGTCATTTCACTGGGAAATTCAGACAGGATGATTCAAGCCCAACTTTAGCTAGATAGCAAGATCCTGTCTCAAAACCAAAACTGAAACCAAAACCAACAAAAATTTCTTTTCTTTGGGGTTTTTCAAGGCAGGGTTTCATTATGTAGCCTTGGTTGTCCTGGAATTCAGAGAGATCCACCTGACTCTAACTCTGAAGTGTAAAGGCACATGCCACCAATGGCCAGCCCAATAAAAATTTCAATCCTTATAAAAATATTTCAGAATTAAAATATTGCACTGTTAGGAAATGAAGCATCATTCCATCTCCCGTTATATTCTCTTTTGATGTCTCTACCTTACATATGGGAATTTGCCCCAAACAAACCACTAATGGACCCCAAACTCGTGGGTATTTACCCTATACAGGTCACTAGTAAACTCCAAACTCTGAAAATGCCTGACTACACTCAAATCGCAAATGTATTTTCTCCTAAAGTTCTACAACCAACATCGGCATGTACCCACCCGATTCTCCAAATTCAAGTTGCAAATGTACGATGAAGAGAAGAAATGACATATGAAAGATAATTTGCCATACCTTCAGTGACTGTCTCTTTGTCACATAATTTTCTGAATGAAGTAACTTCTCATATTCACTGAAAAACTGAGAACAGAAAACATATATTAGGGTTAAGGAAAAGGAGGCTAGATAACATTATAAAGTTCAGGGGCAGACTTTGAACACCAACAAAGGCCTGTGCTCTTTGCCACCTCAATGCAGGAAGCTCCTGGGACTGGTCCCCTCCAGGCTCCAGCCAGATCCAGAGACAAAGCCCCTCTCTGTACCCTAAATCATCTGCCTAAAGCATTAGCACCTTCTCACAGTTTCCACACTAATTTCTTGGTGTTAGACTACAAAATCCCTACTTATTTTATATACAGGAACTCAATTCGTCTAAACAACAAAGATAAAAATGAACCCATCTTTCAAGGTGTATCAAGCAAGGAGAGAAAATAAAGTTGAGGAGAAACCCAGTAGTGCTATGCAGAGAGAGAACTGGATTCCAAGTGTGAAGGGGAGAGAGCAACATTAGATATGGGGAGGTGAAAAGATATTCCTGAAAGAAATATAAGGAAGTCATCACTTGAGAAACTTGGATAGTGCAAAGCTGCAAATCAGAGCTGATAAGTGGCAACACTAACAAGAACATGTCACCAGCCAACACATGAAAGCCAGGCAATCTGACTCCCCTTCAAGAATGTCAATAGATGATTCTGAGCAACTAGTACACATCTTTTGGATTTTTAATTAATTGTTCCCATGCTTTAGTCATTAAAAAGAAATCATGTACTTTTTCATTAGGACTTCCCTCAGATCTGACCATACTTTACACATTCCTGTTAGTTGTCTCATCAACATCTTTCTAAAATCTTGTTAGGTGATGTCACATCCACAAAGAATATGTAGGAAACTATTTTACTTGTACATTAAAACAGACTTTATTGCCTATAGTAAATTTCTTTAAATAAGGTAGTCTGTGTGGGGGAGGCTTTAAATTAAGATAGTAACATTAGAAAGTTTGAGGCCTTGTGGCAATAAAATAGGTAACAATTACTACTAACTGCTTGCTATGCTTTAGCACTAGCTCTGTGAGCTTTAGCATCAGAAGGCCACACACTCCACACACTCTTATTGGTAGGTGCAGGCTACTCCTGAGGTTAAAGAAGTCACAAAGAGTGAAGAAAGCAGTTGCTTTTGTCTTATTAGCACTTGAAACTAGATCCAGGCAGTTTCATGTTACAGCACTGTCTTCAGCCTTCTTGATGCTGCAGCCCTTTAATACAGTTCCTCATGCTGTGGTGACCTCTAACCACATAATTATTTTGTTGCGATTTCGTAACTGTAATTTTCCCACTGTTATCAATCATAATGTAAATATCTGACATGCAAGATATGTGGAAACCTACAGGTTGAGGACCTCCGTGTTAAGCCTGTGAGGCCTTCAAACCAAACACACACAAAAGGAAATACCCATGTCCAAATACTCACTGCAGAATTAAAGTGCTGTCAATGTTTAAGCCATTTATGAGGCTGCTCACTTAGCTATAGTCTATGATGATGGTGGGAGACAGGGAAGACAAGCACAAAGGACACATGAGGAAGCACAGATTCTGTCTCTAAAAACTGTATAATGCACAACAGGCAAGCAAACGATAAACGATCAACGATATTTAAGACAATGAGTTAAACTACCAGTAGGACATTTATTCTAAGTTCTCTAAATGTGCCTATCAGGTCTTGGGCAGTGTGTGGGAACTACCGTGGCACAGTGATGAGCAGGTGTCAACACAGGCTCCGAAGCCCTGGAGAAGCGGCGTGGCTGAGGGCAGTGGGCCTTCCAAGCACCTGGGACCACTGACAGCTCTCTGAGGTCACAGGGCTGGGCTTGACCAACACTGGCAGAGCTGGAAGCAATGTCCTCATCTTATGAACAGGAGGGTCTCTAAGCCCCGGGCAGTAAGTGCCTTGGCCATGGCTATAAAGAGTAAGCAGAGGCAGGAGCAAAGCTGCAGTCCTGCCTACTCCAGGCCAGTGCTGCTCACAGCCCATCAGCTGCTGTGTCTGTCAGTATACAGCAACTGATGAAAAAGGAAGAAAAAGGGGGGGAGGGACAGACTAAATTCTCTTCGCATCTTAATTAGATTGTCATTCAGGAAAAACCCGACCATTTCCCTCTTCTAAAATAAGAAAACATGCAAGGGGCAACTATTAATCAAGATCAAATTTTGCTTGAGACTAGTACTCTATGTTGTTTCAGTAAAGAAGTAATCATAGTACCATTTACAAATACCATAAAGTCAAATATTCTGATACAAAACCTACCTTAAACCTCCATTTAAGTTAATTTCATTTCTGTTAAAAGAACGTGACAAATGTTCCTTAAAATATTTCACATACTTACTCTATCATAATGCTGTTCCAAAAATTCTGCACTGAGCAATTTATGCCTTGTGAGTAAATCCTAGGAAAAGAAAAAGATGTATTGTTATGGTGGTTCTCCATTAAATCTTAGGAAAGAGAATTCAAAATATTCTGTGCCAAACAAAATGCCTGATAAGCTGCTGTTAAATATCAGCAGACAGTACTTAATATTTCATTATGAATTTTACTCAGGACCATAATAAAGCTAGCCTCCCTGGGTCAGAACTTCCGTCAGGGAATAAGGTAGCTTGGATCTGTCTGGTATTTAGCCAGTCTGACTAAGTACCAGACATATATCCTTGAACATATATAGTCTTGCCTATGGGTCACGTTCTATTCACTATTCGGAGCCTCTCATGAGTTCTCCCTTTCTGTGTATCCAGGAACACTGGGATCTAGAGCTACACTGGCTCAGAGCTGTCTTCTGGAGCGATTCATCCTCTGAATACTGAGTAGTTTTTGAAATGCATTTTTTCTTCAAGGAGAGATCACCTGCCTGGCTCTCCCAGATCCTCCCCTTTCTTGCTACCATAACCTGACAGGATCATGTTACCCACAGTGGCTCCAACACCACCATCTTCTCCTTGGGGAGAGTTAAATGGAAGAAGCACCCCCTAGCTGAGATGAAATTACCAGCAAGGCCACACAAGACCATCAGATATCACATTCCTGGCATGTAGCCAGCACATATCTCTCACCTTGGTGCCAGTTTGGCCATTTGTGCCAGGAGCATGTTATCCATGTCCTCCACGTGGTCAGGGGGCTCCCACACCATTGCTGCTCCTCAATACTCTTCCCTCACCCTCCTGTGCCCAGAGTGCTGACACTATCTGAGTCCTGGCTGTCTTTGCACACAGGGTACTCTCCTTGACATAAGCGCTACTACAGCTCCCTTCATGCCAGGTTGCTGTTCCTGAATGGAGCATTCCCTCCCATCGATGCATTCCAATCACAAGCCCTATCCCACCACTTCAGTGACAGCTAAGACATCACAGCGGTCACTCTATGTTATGATCGCAAATTCATTTCACTTTGCTTTGTACATGACAGTTACATATATGCATGTGAGGTCTCACCTAAAGCTTCTGTGGAACTTGTATTGATTCTGGGATATAAATCCTTGGCACTGCTCACACTGTGACATTCTTCTCAGGCAGGGTGAAAACGTACTGGCCAGTCCCCAGGTCCTCATCCTGTCCTAATATATTCAGCACCCTCACATATGTACTTTACCCAAAGACCAAGTCCTTACCCCAGAGGCTCCTTAGTAAAAGCTAAGCTCTTACAAGGAAAGAAAGCTCTTCTCACAGTGTAAGTGTTCACTGCTTCTGAGTGTGAGTGAGCTACATGTAAGTATTAAGGTCATTTAAGGGAATGTAAATCAAGACTTAGTCTCACTGGAGAAAAAAATACAAGACTGCTGCTTCGTTTATATATCATAAACAGAAGCTTACAACTAAAGAAACTAGTGGTCATACATGCACTCAGTATATACAACTCCACAGGGAGGTAAGTTAGGAGAGGGGAGGGGACGCAGGAGGGATGATCCCGTTTCTCTGCAGTGACTCAGTTATGCCCATGCCTGGGGCATGTCAACAAGTTTCTTCATACTGAATGTGGTTCTTGCATTTAATAATATATATTCCAAAAATATATATTCCAAAAATTGAGCAGAGGCCAATTACATCTCCATGTCTAGTGCTAACCAAAGGAATGCTGCAGAATACCCCATCACAAGAGAAAGCCTGGTTGTTAGGTATTCTGAATGTTATCGTTGCCATACTTAGAGAATAATTTAACAGGAAAGCACAATTTTGACCTAAGAGGACTTTTGCCTTTCTGATAAGATATGAGAATTTAATTCTCCCACGCTTTTAGGGTGTGTGTTTGGGGGGCGGGGGAGTTTACTACAGATACCTAAAACATACCAAAGCATATAAAATGCATCTTTTTTATTCCCACTAGAGGGCAGTCATGTATAGAGTTGCAGAGGGAGACACATGGGGAAACTGCAAACCTGGTCTGATTTGCAAGTGTATTTAAAATTCAAGTCTTTAAATGTTACCTTGAACGTAGCAAATGCATCTGAAGCTATGTCAAATGTTGACATTTCAACATATCTGAAGAAATCATAAAACTGTTCCGACCATAATATGATTTTTGCAAGTGGTTCATGTCTGATGCACTCTCTTAACATTATTCCACAATTAAGAGCTATTTCTGGAGATTCATACCTGTAAAAACAAAACAAAACAAATAAAAGCCATGTATGATTGCTCTTTCAAAACAGCAAAAATGAGCACTTCAAACTTTCTCAACAGAAGTTTCACACACTCCTAAGTGACCACAGCAGGTTACAAAAGGTACTTCTCTCAAGAGTACATAGCAAAGTCACTACATGTGGCACCTACAGCTGTTCGCAGAGATGGACAGCTACCTGCAATTAAGAAAAATCAGTTATGGCAGGGACCACAAGAACAGAAGTTGTGTTTGAAAAAGAAGTGCTAGGGTCATAGGTCAGCTATCCATGAGCTTTTTTTTTTTTTTTAACCCACTGTGTTCACAACAACCAGAACAACAACAACAACAACAACAAAAACAAAAAACAAAACAGAAGAGTAATAGAGAATTTAGAGAATTCCCTTTCCAAATTCAGGAATTCAGTAGAAACAGTATAAACACAGGTCTATCAAAGATACAGCATTTTATGCATCACTGTTTCAACACTCACAACAGTACTTCCAGACTCTTGGAAACATGTAAATCCCATAAAACTGTAAGCCTCATTCTAAGGATTTTACAGAGCATCTCCACCACAGAGAACCTGGGCCCTGAGGCCCTGGAGCCTTCTCACCAACTCTCCAAACACAGCCTTTTCCTCTGTTCTCAGCACCACATCAGCATCTCTTCCCTTGTGATCAGAAAGAAAACCTCACAGTGAGTAGAGTAGGGGCCATCCCCTTCTCAAAGCACACTGCCTTTCACAGGCTGACACCTGCTACACACATTGGCTCTATTTCTTTCCCACAGGGTTTTTTTTTTTTTTTTTTTTGGTAGTCAAACAACATTTTCCAATACTCTAGTGACTTCCTCTTGGCTAAAACAGAACTAACCAATATCCATCTAAGTAATGTTCTGATGGTGCTGACTTTTGCTAGTCTATCTTTTGTCTTTCTCTTTTTGGTTCTGGTGATCAAATCCAAATGCTGGGTAAGTATTCCATCACTGGGCTACACCCTACCCAGTACTATCCCTTTCTTAAAAAATAGGGAAGAGAAAACTCCTCCCAGTTCTCCTTTTTATCTCCCTGGTGGTTCCCCTTTCTTCCTTCTGAGGTCTTCACCTGCTAAGGAGAGCCCACAATCTCACGGCCCCCACCACTGTGACTGAGTTTCCTTCCCTCCTTCCACTCTGAGTGGTGGTTGGGTATTTTCCAATGTCTCTGAGAGCCTCAAGTAAAGGTCTACATAAGCCAAACATATCTAACATGATCTCTCATCCCTCCACTCCAAAGCCAGACCCAGTGCCCCTGCCTACTCAGGTCTGCATTTTAGCAGCACTGCTTAGTCTTCGATGTCAGGTCTAACAGACCTTCCATGACGGTGGGATGTTTTGTACACATGCTGCCCATTATGTCGGTTTCTAAGCCACTGGTGGTTATTGAACATTTGAAATGTGACTAGTGCAAATGAGGGATGGGATAGCCATAATTTAAAATTAAGTCACTATATATGGTTAGTAATTATTAGACAATACAGCTCAAAAATTCCTTCTTCCTATCCTAGCTCCAAATCTTCAACTTTCTATGTTTGGAATCATCTGGGCCTTTTCCTATTTCTTTTGAAGTCTTAGTTTTTTGACTTCTTTCTATCTATTCCCACTGCTGTTAACTCATTAAGAACTGCAAATGTGTTATATTAGCACATTTGCTTAAGCTCTGTCTTAAAACATCTACCCAACAAACAAATTTACCACCAGCATTTATTTCTGAGTTAGCAGTCTAAAACTACAGCTAAACAAACAGACTTATGTCTGATTTTTCCCTTATTAGATCTACTTACTGCTCTGGGACAAACCATCTCCTAGCCTGGCATAAAATGGCTGCTGATCACATGGTATTCATTCCTGCCCTGGACCTTTACACCAGTGACATGCCATCAGGATGCTTTCTTCTTCTGTCTACATAAGTTCTCAGTTCTCTGTAACTCCTATTGTAAGATCCTTTCCTTTTACCGACCCTTGCAAACCCACTTACCCTCTGAAATCCTGTAGTCTTAACATGTTGCCTAGCAGCACTAACCTTGTCCTTTCATTGTACATATGCTCAACAGAGCAGGACTACACTCCTCTGCCTCCCTGAGGGCATGGCACTCAGCATGCAGACTGGCTTATTTGATTAAAATTTCTGTTTACAAGGTAGCTGATCACACTATTAATCTTTCTTATCTCTGGTAAACAGGAGACTAGCAGGGCAAGTGTTAAGGCAGTCTGGTACAAGTTTGGCAGGTCTTAATGGGAGTTTGTCAAGCTTTTCTCAATGATTAAACCATAAGCCAGTGAGTACAAGGCAAACAGTTACACCTGTACAACCTACTCACACTAGGTTAATGGAGATCACATTAGATCCAGTAAAATTCTACTGTTTCCAAATCCAGGCCAATGCCAGTACTTCCCATATGCACACTAGAATTAGCAGCACAACCAGCCAATGACAGACTATCTTAAAAGGTGGCTTACATACAGTGCTTCTTAAAGCATGCTACAGGTCAGACAGGAATCATATAAAATGAGTGAGGTATCAGAAAGAAAAGAAGCCATCACAGGACAATTGGGTTGTGCCAAAAGAACAAAGGAGCCAACCAAAGGCACAAAGTGGCCTAAGATGGGACAACTTAAATTTAAAAAAGTAATGTTTACATGTCTGTGATGGTTAATATACTGAACATCAACTCAAAAAGAATAAGAATCCGCTAAGAGGCCAGCCTCTCAGCACGCCTGTGAGGAATAATGTAGACTAGGTTAGCCTCTGGGCATGCTTGTGAGGGAGTATCTTGAGTATGTGAGATGGGAAGACTGCCACTGCACGAGCTAGGCATTCAGTCTTGGACAAAATAAAAAGGTGAAAGTGAGCTGTGCACCAGCATTCATCACTTTCTGGCTGTGGTGCAATGTGACCACTGCTCCAAGCTCCTTCCACTGTGGCTTCCCACTATACTCAACTGCGATTACAAAGTCAAACCCTTCCTTTAGTTGCTTCTGTTGGGATTATTTTACTATAGCAACAGGAAAAGTAACTAATACAACACCCAATATCTGAGTTAATAACAATGCTTAAACAATATATTCAATGCTTATCCAAGTTACTGGCTAGAGCACCAACAAATTAAAATAATGGCACTGGCTTTCCCCATACAGATTCTATCTGGAAACATCAAAGTTCGTCAGCTTTATGGAAGAAAAACATTTAATTAGAAGCAATACCAAAATCTAAGTGAACTCTCATTTATTTATTTATTTACTTATTAATTGACTGATTGGAGGCAGGGACTAGCTATATAGCACTGAATAGCATCAAACTCATGAAGATCTACCTTCCTCTGCCTCCCACATGCTATGATTAAAAGTCTGTGACACCACACTGATATTTTAAACTAAGATAATATCCCTGGTATATATAAAAATAGGTGAAAGTATGATAGCAAACTTCAAAATGTACAGACAGATAAGACCTGTACCTAATGATTACTCTCAACTTCATTTCAGTGGGACAATGGCTAGAAGTAAAACAGGTAGCAGGCACCTTGTTACTGAGTTCATCCCAAGGAACTCATGCATTTCTCATCCAAGGGATGAGAGATGGTAAAACATGCTAAATAAAACCATAGTAATGTAAATTTAAAATACATAACTAAAATAATTTTCAGAGACACTCAGTCTCACTACAGAGCTCAGGCTAGCCTATTAAACTTTCTATGCAGCAGAACAAAATGACTGTGGTCTTGGAGGGGGTTTCCTGCTTTTGCCTCCTAAGTGACAGTATAGTCATGTGTCATCACGCCCTACTAAAGTAAGTAGCTTTCTACAGAACAATTACATACATTTTTAACATGCTTAAAAATTACATACATTTTTAGAAAATGAGGGGATTAACTATTATAGATTAGTAGAAAGCTAAAAGTTTTATCTATAAAATTCAGTTTGTAGACCTTGTTAAAAAATTTTTACACAAACTAATTTTGTTAAAGAAATACAAAAAGCTGGGCACTGGATTGTACCAGGTGTGTAGAAGGTACTGTGGTTGTTATAGCTTGCATGGTACGCACACTGTATATGCAGGACAGACATGGGCAAACAATGCAGTCAAATTGTGTGTAAGAAAGAAAGAAAGAAAGAATGGCATAAGGTTAATGACTGTGATGAGGGGTGTTGGGTAGGGAAGTTTTGCAGTCTTTTCTTTATGGTGTGCTTAGTTCCCTAATAGACTGTAGTGGAAGGGATATGGGAGAGGATACCAAGTCAAGCTCCAGCCTCAGGCTTTTCCTTCTTGCCTCTGGCTGAGCATTCTGTTCTGACAAGCTCAGATGAGAGCTTTAAATATTAAACTATCCTTCAAAAATCTTATTTTAGACTAGAGTGTCAGCTCACTTTTAATCTTATCATTCAGAAAGAAAACAGAGGTAGCAAGGGTTACAATGAGATCCTAATAGTTTTTTTTTTTTTAAATACACTGTCTAAAAAAAATTGACATCAAAGCTGTCGTGAAATAACAAAGTATTAACTAATTTATAGGTTTTAATAAACCTCTGGTTTCATTAATACAGTTCTAAGAACACCCAAATTTCAGGCTATTCACACAGCACGTTTCTAAAGGGACACAGGACTGATATAACAAAAGTTCTGTTCAGCAACACATGAAGAAGCAACACGGATGGGTAGAAACAGAAAGGAGGAAGCAGGATGTTGGCATGTGACATGTCACTGACTCATGCTTTGTCTAAGCAAGTCTGAACTTGGGGGAAGTGTTAGACCACAGAGATACAACAAGTCCACATGAGGTAAGCTGTAAACCTATGGGGAGGGGAGCAAGCTGCTGGCCCACTGTTGAGCACAACGCTGCCCGTGCTGGGATGACCCGGTGAGCCGGCAAGCATTGCTGATTACCTTGCCAGCCAGGTAGATCATTTCATTTTTGTTAAACTTAGATCTTAAGTTTTAAAAATTTTGTTTCTGAAATGGACAACCACATCATGAATGCCTGCTAGCCCAGGAGTAACTTCAGGAAATGCACTGTGCTGACCCCACAGTGCATGCTCTGCTGAATGGAGGTGAGGAGCACGCATGCCCCACTAGGAGGTTCCCACTGCTGTGAGGTGTGCAGGTCAGGTGCAGAGGAGGTATCCTTACACTCACAACTTGGCTGGGATTTCAATGGACTTCAACTGTTTCAATCTTACAGACAAAAATAAGACTCTATTTCTTTCCTAAGGGGTCACAATTCACCCCATTTTAAGTTTACATCTACAGGGCATGTTTGTGTTAGTGTAGCTTACAGGTCAAAACATTAAAAGGGCAGTATGTTTAAGAGCTACAGAAAAGTAAGATTAAAAAAAAAAAAACTATAGAGAAAATCTTCCCATATTCACCAGCCTGTTTATCTTTCCCCACCCAAGCAATTTTTCCTTTTTATTTTCAACTAAGAATATAAACTTTATCACATTGTACATACCCTTTCAATAACATGAACAAAATATTCTGTTGGGTGCAGATGTATTCAACAGTAGGAGTTCTTGTACCAATTTGTCTTCTGAGAATATTGTTGAAAATTTGAGCCACGTCTTTTTTGCCCTATTAGGAATACAATCATTAAAATATTTACCTGTCTAAATATTAAAATGTCCATCCACCCTTCAATATAAAGTCAAAGAGCCATTGTGTATTAGTCAAGACTGAGTATCTGACTTTACAACATTTGTAGACATGAAAATTCTTATTTTATCTAGTTATAAACCCAAATTTTTGGTTTTAATAGTGTATACTTTTTAAACACAACTTTATCAACGAAGTGAAATCTCATCACAATCCAAAAGTGTTTCAACCACCACTAATACTCAGAAGCACACTCAGTATGGAAAGCAGATGTGGACAGCACACTTACCACCTATAGAGGTATGAACCTACATAAGTGGATATTTCTGTTGTGAATAATAGCGTGTATACTTTCTTTTACAGAAAAGGGAAGAGATTGTATTCTGGGTGTAATGATGTCAGAGAATTCTATAAAAAGCTGAGCTTTAATAGCAGGCAGATAAACTCTTCTATTAAACTATGTCACATAGGAAAAACTTAAAATATATTAATAACAAAAGCACTAAGTGTCACGATACAGTAGTTCAGAGATGAGAACTTTACAAACACCACTGCACAAAACAGACAGACTATCTACTGAACCTTAACAAATCAGGAAGCTGCCTAAGAAATTAATAAAGGAGAACTGACTGGCCCCCAAGAAATATTTCAGAACAGCCACTGTCACAAGGCTAAGGAAGCCCAGAGAGCATTGAAGCCCATAGACAGATCATCCGGGAGCCTGTGTTAGCTCAGGTGCAGTAATCAAATCCAAATCAGCCCCATGGCACACACTTAAAAAAAAAAACCAAACCAAACCAAACAAAAAACCCCTGATGCCTCTAAAGTCTCAAATGAATATTAAATATTCAGTGTTCAGTTTAGGGAACAAAATGGGTAGAGATGAAGGAGAAGGATTAGATATCCCAAATGCACCCCTCAAGTTAGACAGAAAAATACAGTTAGAATTTGATAAACTATTAAATATAAAGTCAGACGTGTATCTTAGTTCTATCTTCTCTAGAGCAGGACAAAAATGTTTATTTTTTGTTTATTATGTCCTTTCCACCAAATCTGCACAAATCTGCACTCATGACAGCCAGAGTGGCTGCTTTGTGACCAAGTAGAGTTCATTGTATATATGCTTTTCAGGCTGGAATCAAGGACCATTATCTTCATGAACTCACTATACACCTAACATGTCATGATCCAATTGCATAACTTGAGGTAACAAAATGAGGGGTGAGGGTGAGTGGGTCCCTAAAGAAAGCAGGCTATGGCGACCAAGAGTAAAAGGCTTGGTGGTTATTTTGCTCCAGCAGATGGGTCAATAAGTACAGACCCCAATTACCAGAGACAAATTTTACACAAGTCCAAAATGCAGAATTGGGAACAAAATCTGCTATTTTAACATTACATTAAATAAAAAATTTAAAAGCAGTGTTGAATAAGCACAAAACACAAAATACACGATCGCTTCACTAATGAACGTTTTTTTTAGGATTTTCTAACATTTGCTCATTCCTTAACCCAGAGAATAGCTGTTTATGAAATACAACCTAAATGAAAGGGCATCACAAACACCCAAGAAACTTCACATACACTGTGGTGAAATATGTGTACAAAGGTCAGGAGGCCCTGGATCCCCAGGGATCTTAAAATGTTCCAAAGGATAGAATGTATGAAAGAGGACCATAAAGAAAGTTTCTGAAGACCGAGAAACACATTTCTTACCTCAAAGTCAATGAGCTGTAAATCAGCTACCAGAGTGCTAAGGAGTCCACTATTGTACAGCTCTTGAGCCAGCTGAGCTACGGCTTCTGTCTGAGGTTCTTTTTCATTTGTGCCGTACAGAATTTCTTTCATGGCAACCAAATTTTTGGAAACTTCTTCTGTAGCCTGATTTTGGGAGGAAGGTGTAGAAGAGAAAAACAACTCATTTTAACAAACACATATATATCACATCTGTGTTAGCCAAAATCCATTTTCTGTATTATTTACTCTCAGACCTGTGTGTAAGCTCCATCTCTGTCCTCAGGAGCTGGATACTGTACATGTGTATACGAGAGAGAGAGAGAGAGAGAGAGAGAGAGAGAGAGAGTACACTCCCCAAGAAAGGGAGACTTGCACAGATTATAAAATGGAACCCCAGCTAACATACAGTAGAAAAAGGAATGATAAGACTAGTTTCCTCCTCAAGCTCAGAAAAGCACTATGGAAGAGGCGTGTGTGTGTGTGTGTGTGTGTGTGTGTGTGTGTGTGTGTGTGTGTGTGTGTGTGTGTGTGGTATCTCTAACCATCAAGTGTCAGGGATCTAGAACAGTACAAAGCAGAGATAAGGGAAAAGTACAGGGTCTGTATTGTATTATAGTTTGAATCTGAAGTACCCACAAAAGACTCATAGATGGAAAGCTTGGTTGTAGTTGATAGACTTTGGGGAAATGACTGGATCGGAAGGGCTCTAATCCACTGATGAATTAATAAGCTGATGGCATTGTTGAGAAATTAAGGACTAGTTGGGGGAAGAAGGTTACTGGGAATGTGCCCCTTCCCTAGACCCATCTTCTCTTACTGTTTGATTCCTGGCTGCCACAAGGTAGGCAGTTTTCCATCAAGGTCATGTTTCTGGCTTGTCTCATGACTAAAAGCAATGGACTTCTGAAACTGTAAACCTGAACTGGTTAATTTTTTGTCAACCTTACACAAGCAAGAATCATCTGGGAAGAAAGAATCTTAATTGAGAAAATGTTTCCATTTCACAGGTCCTTGATATTTTTTTTTGATTAATAATAGATGTAGGCAGCCCACTGTGGGTGTGGTATAAGAGTAAACTGAGCAAACCATGAGAGCAAGCCAGTAGCAACATTGCCCCATGGCCTCTGCTTGAGTTTCTGCTCTGATTTCCTTCATGATGAACTGTAAGCTGCAAGATGAAATAGTCTTTCCTCTCCAAGTCACAGGGCATCAAGCAGAACACTCAATGTGGTTTATACCTCAATAGTTACACAAAGAAGCCTAGCCTACATTCTGATTTCATCTTACCCAACAAAGCTTAACATGAAGCTCAGATAGATATCAAAAATACAAGCAACCAAAAGAAATGACACTGATTAACAGAATGTTAAAAAAATCTCTAACTATATGCTACACATTTAAGAAAAACCAAGGATATTAAATAGAGCAACTGAAGATATGAAGACTTAGAAATAGAAGCTATAATATTTGAGGCCAAAACTAGAGTGGATATCAACAGCAAAGAAAAACTTTGCAAAGATGAGTAGTAATAACTATCCAAAAACCATGGAGGGTCAAATAGAGTAGGATACCACATTTGTGAGCTTTAGAGTGACTTAGAGTAATATATAACTATAGGCAGGGCAAAGGGCAGGCAAAATATTGGGAAATGTGATGAATGAAAACAATTCTGAATTTGCCAGGTACTCCTTTAATCCTAGTACTTGGGAGGTAGAGCCAAGAAGACGTCTATGAGTTGGAGACCAGGCGTCTCTACATAGTTCCAGGATAGTGAGGGACCGTCTCAAAAAAACAAACAAAACAAAACAAAACAAAAAAACAAAAACAAACAAACAAAAAACACCCAAAATCAAAAAATATAAATTTTATTAAAATTGCCAAGACAAATACCGATAAAAGGCAAATAAACTCAAGAATAAGAAAAACAGGGATAAGGTGGCTGGAGAGATGGCTCAGTAGTTAAGAGCACTGCACTGGCTGCTCTTCCAGGCGACCAAGGTTTGAGTTCCAGCCCCACACATGTATTCAAAACAGTCTGGCAACTCCAGTTATAGGGAACATTATGCCCTCTTCCAACCTCCTGGGCACCAGGCATGTATGTGGTGTACAAACATACATGTAGGCAAAATACTCACACAAATTTGAAAAAGCAAAAAAAAAAAAAAAAAAAAAAAAGACTATATGGAGATTAAGAGCTAAAGAGATGGCTGTGGTTAAAAACATTTGTTGTGCAATAATGAGTTCAGATCCTACCACCCACATTATGCCTCTAACTCCAACTTAGAGGATTTCAACATCCTCTTCAGGGTTCCACATGTTCACATGAGTTGTGGGATATGTGTACACTGTGTGAAGATGTATTTGCTGTGACTGGTGTAATAAAAAACTGAATGGCCAATAAATAACTAGGTGGGAGGTATAGGTAAGATTTCCTGGGAGAGAAAGAGGTGATGAATCTAGAGACTTCTTGACAGAAACTACTAAGTCAAAAGATACTGGAGACTTGTTTGAACTATTGAGAAAAACATACAACCAAGCTATCATCCTAGAATTTTATACTCCAATGAAAATGTTTCATAAATAAAGATAATTCTACATAGTGAGACCCTGTTTCAAAATAAAACAACAAAAAACAAAACAAGAAAGTGAACCTTTGAGATGCATTAAAACTAAAAGATTCAAATGAGAAGAAAAAACGTGAGTAAATACGAAGTTTTCCTTCACTATCAATTTAAAGAAAATTTGGTTATTTAAAGCAAAAATAATATAGTCTAAGGTTTTGAATGTAGAACTAAAAATACATGACAGAAGTAACTCGAGAAGTAATGGAAATAGAGTGTTGTAAGGGGCAACCAATGCAATATCCTATTTCCCAAAGAGAGACTATTAGAAGCTAAAGATGCTATTAACATATGCCTTACAGCAAATACTTAGAGAAAAACCCCACACAGATGAAGGTGGTAGCAAATGCTTATGATCTATGACTTGGGAATCCATGGCAGCAGGATTCAGAGTTTAAGACCAGCATGAGCTATACAGTAAATTCAGTGCTAGCTTATATTATTACATGGTGTGAATCTATCTCATTAAAAACAAGCAAGCAATCAAAAACCAAACCCATCAAAATATTGTAGGCTTACTATAGATCAGCAAAGGTGAATTGAATGGAATGAAGAGTAAAACAGGAAAAGGCAGTAAAAATCTACCTAAAAAGAAATAAGAAATAAACCTGGGGTCGAAATAACTCAGATTTATAGGACACCACCTATATGACAGTATTAGGAAGAATTATCCAGTCCACGAAATCCCTTTACAACCAACAATGAACATCTTACCAAATGATCACACAACATCACCTTGAGTATTCCCTCTGGCAATGCTGTATTAGCAGATCTCAGAATCAGACAAACATGGACTCACTATATTGTCTGATGCCCCAACCAGTAACTTCTCTCCTATTTAAAGAGTTATTTGCAGGTAGTGCACCCACCTTCCTTTAAATAATCATCTCCAGAAATCTCTTCTCAACTTTGTGAATTACTTTTCTAAGAAAGGGAGGGTAATAAATATACCAGCCCTGCCTAGATGGAATGATACTGAAGATCCTGCACATAGCACTGCACTGCTTTCCTGACAGATGCTGACACAGCTTAAGAATCTGGGCAATCACAAAATGAAGGGAGAAAGAAGTTAGCACAGAGTGAATCTCTTTGACAAAAAAGTGAAAAATGGGTAAAATATCTGAATGGCTGGGGATGTGGATCACTTGGTAGATGCCTGCCTACTGTGCATGAAGCCCTGGGGTCCATACCCAGCCCCGTGTAAACCCATAGAGGTATCCATATAGGTGCTCCTTATTAAGGCCAACTGGAGTGCATGAGAGTGCACTGTAAGGCTTTCACTCTCCCCACATCACCATGCAATTGTAGTATCAGCCCAACACCTGGCTGTATAGACAACTCTGTGTTCTGAAGGATACCCAGTAAATTGCCTATTACATTACTCTCACAGTTGAATTATGTCTAGTTATACCCCTGTGACCTGCCTAAATTGCTAACCAAAATGATTAACAGGAAAGAACCACAATTGGGCCTACCATCATATCTTTGAATTACCCCTCTTTTCAGTAATGATGTAATAATTTTTGGGTGTAGCTACTCAGCACTATTTGCACATTATATTTGTAAAGATTTTTGTGTGATATCTTGATAAAATGGCATTTCTTTCACATTTTCTGACTATAAAAAAATAAAGTGAAGTTAACTTAGTAAAATCTTTTCACTAAAGCGTTTTGACTAAGAGCAGTGGTGCATGCCTTTAATCTTGGCAGAGGGGAGGCAGATCTCTTTGAGTCTCAGGCCAGCCAGGGTTATATAATGTGACTCTGACTTAAAAAATAATAATCAAACATATTCTGATTTCTAAGGCTTTCCCTCCTAAATGGTTACAAACTGCCCTTTATCAATCCTACTATGAAATCTTAAGTATCTATGTTCAGCAGAGTTTACCTTTTCTGGCTCAGTATCTACCTTATTATCTATAGTACTTAGATTATGAGTAGTTCAACATCTCATATGCAGTAAGGAACCCACAAATGTAATTTTTCTGGACCAAGGGGAAATCATTTAACAGCAGGACTGATTCTATCATAATCTGTTTATATGCACTGTCTTTTCAGATCCATCTTATTAACCTTTATTCCAAATGATTCTCACTGTCAGGAAAAAAAAAATTCTGATACTTCACTAGGGTTTTTTAGTGTGTCACCTGGTGGTTTTATGCCCATGATTCTAAATGGCAGGTCTCCTTTGGGTTCTGGTTAGGCTCGAGTTTTGACCCTCTTAGGAACTCTTAGTTTATCCATTTTGAAATTATTAGGATTTTAAAATATGAATTCAGGTCAGATAACCTTTCTTCTGACAGTAACAGGTGTCTAAGAGAGGAGTAATGGCTAAAGGGCAAGGGTTTCATTTTGAGGTGATGAAATGCTCTAGAACTAATTGTAGTTATGGTCACATATATCCATGATTAAATTAAAAGGACGTGGAATTTTAACTTTGAAAATGTGAACTGCACAGCATGGAAATTCTACTGCAATAAAGCTATCTTTACACAAGGGAGGGAGGAACAAACCAGAAAGTTTC